GAACCCTATTAAGGAGAAGGTTCCTGTTCAAAGAACGAAGGCTTCACTAATACATCTCTGGGCAAAAATCCAGAATATTCAAGAAATTACACACATTGTCTTATATGGGGAGAAGGGTGCATTTAGGCACATTTAAAAGGCAGGATATGGAAACGTGGTTACTTACCCAAAAGGGACGTTTCTGTGTACTTCCAGGCTTTGTCCCCAAACGGCCTAGTAGCCTTACCAGGCCCAAATTCCAGGCTGCCAACAGGGCAGGCCCGGTTGCCAAAGGAGACCATTTCCCAAGACACTCTCTCCATGGACTTGGGACAATGACAAAGCCGAGCGCCACACAGGCTGAGTACCTGGCATTCCCTGAGATGGCATCCCAAAGAGGGTATCACCTCTGAACCCCACGTGCCCACACCGAGACCAACCCAGCCATCTTACACAGGCAGAAACACCACTGCTGCAGCAGCACATAAGAGAGTCTGCCGCTACTAGCTCTGACTAGCTACTTAAAAACCAAAATTTAAAAAAGAAACCTACAGCCATATTATTAAATGAGGGGAAAGACGGCCCAGTGGAAAATAACAGGGACTTGCACTGGTTAGCAAGAACAGGGAGTGGGTGCATACTCACCCCGTGGGCCCAGGACCCTCACTTCCAGGGGAGCCAGGCCGGCCTTGCTGCTGTCCACCGTAAACGACTGCGGGATGCGGGCACGGACGCCCGAGCCCAGCCCAGGGCCGGCGATCTTAACCTTGCTGGGGTCCACCATGTCCTTGACAGGAACCCTGAAGGGGCTGCCTGGAAAAGAGGTCGCAGGACTCAGCACAGCCTGGCAACGGGACACTTGTCTTGTACGCACCCAGAACCACACTGTGGCTCCAGCTGGCATCCTGACAGTGCGAGCCTCCGACAGCTTCCCCTGCCTCGCTGTGTGTGCACGCATGTGTCCACCCATTATTCTCAGTGACTGCCACAGAGCACCTACTAAGGGCAGCGGTCATGATTAGCAGCCACACAGAAACCCACAGCGCAGGAGGATGGGGCAAGCACATCACTCTGAGAGCCAACGTCACTTCTGTTGGGGTGTACAAGGTGAGCACTTAGGAAGGGATAAACCTGGCCTGTGGGAGACCAGAGAAAGCATTCCAGGAACACGTCAGCCAGGATGTGAGAGGAGGCAGACATTGGTCAGGAGAAGCAGACAGGTGCTTCTGCAGCGGGATCAGCACAGGCCTGAGCCTACATCCAACCCTCCTCCCACACATGGCTCCTGAGTGCCCACTAGACCCTTCTGGATCCAACAGAGCCAGCACCTGCTGACCACATGGGGCCTTCGGTGAAATCCTGCTTTGTTTCCAAGTGTGACCCCGGGTCCTGCTGCTTGGCTCACCACAAAGGGGACTCTGAGGGCCTCTGATGCTCAGGGTGTCCGTTTTAAAGTCTGACGAAATGTGGAGAATACAGGGAGATCAGGATTTGCCAGAGAAATACTTATTGGAGAAACAAGGGCTGGGCCATGGATCGTCGTGAGGCTCCCAAAAGGGGAGACCTCCCCCAAAGAGGAAGCCCAGCGTCTTTGGCATCACGCCTCGAGCTATCATGTCCATTGCCAAGGAAGATGCATGTACCCCTCACCCCACTCAGGTACCCTGTGCTCCCCATAATGTCCCGAAAACTTAGCAGCATCTGTCATGGGAGCCACAGGTCTGTGCTTGGTGTCGCAGCAAGCCTGTACACTGGGGTGGTACAAAACAAAGGCCACTCAAAGAACTCAGATCCTGGCCTTGTAACAGCAAGGTCGCAGTGGCATGCAATTTTCCAGCGAAATAAACAAGGCACTGGCCACAGTAAAGACAAGCACAGTCCTCCACGCTGGGTTTTAGAGAAATAAAGGGAGCTCTCTTTTACAGAGTGACACTGAGAGTTTCAGTGTCAACGGATGAAGACAATGGACTACCTCTGAGGCCAGTCTGGAAGCCAGAGCCTCCAGTGGAAGCTGTCTGAGTTCTGTGGACTAGAACCACCGAGCAAGAACCACCAAGTAAAGGCAAGGTGGCAGGTACCAAGCAGCACCTGCCTCTCCCCTGTTCTGTGCAGACATGAGCAATCCATCAAGGCAGACCTTCTTCCTGATGCACCCTGACACTCGGCCCATCCACTGTTCTAGGCAGCCACAACCACCAGACCACAGCGGCCCACCACAGGAATATGCCATTACTAACAAGACAGGATACTTTGTTAAAAATAACCCGGCTACAAGATTGGACCAGGCCAGGAAGAACTGGGCTAACCCTCAGCCACCTGGAATGCTGAGGAAAGTACGTTAGAAACAAGCAGCTTCCTGGGGACCAGCAATTGGCATAATGGCTACGTCACTGGACTTCCATGTAGTCGGCTGCAGTTCAATTCCTGGACCCAGTGGCTTAAACTCACGCCGGGCACGTGTGCACGAGTGCCAGGAGAATGGAGAAGGGATTGTGACATGGCCATCCCCCTGGGGGGGGGGATTTCTCGCTTTCTGTCTCTCTGTCTCTGTCTTTCTGGCAAGTCCACATGCCCTATAGCAAAAACCTCTCCACAAAAAAAAAAAAGGAAGAACAAGCAGCTTTCTCAATGTCCATGGCCGTCCCTTGGGTTACCCTAGCTCAAGAGCTGGCAGTTAAGACAACCAGTCAACACTCCCCTGCATGTCTCTGCCTTGGGACACGCTGGGGCTCAGGAGACACCGGCATTCAGCTCTGGAAGGCAGCCGAGTCTGAAACATAAAGAGGTACCATCTGGACAGCCTCCATGGCCTGGTGGTGAAGCCGGCCGAATCCCGCACGGCCGGCACGGTGTGAGCCTCAGATCTGATGGCTTGAGAAACACACCATGAGAGTGCCCCCCAAGTCCCGAAAGGCAGGAGAGCTCTCTTCTTAATGAGACAGGACTGTGGTGTGACCGTTCCCAGGGAGGTGCGTTTCCTCTCCTTCTCTCTGTCTCTCTCTGCTGAGCACACGCTCTCTTTAGCACGCACACACACAAAAGAGCCACCATCGAAATCGGATGGGAAAACCCCTAGTGGGCCTCTTTCTGTTGTTCTGCTCAAAGATGGCCATTTGCTCGAACTCACAGACCAGCCCCAGGGCTCGCACTCGCACCCTCCTGCAAGGGGAACTCCGAAGCTGCCGGCATCGGCGACTTCCCCAGAAGTCCTAACAAGTCTGCGGCCGCCACAACCAAAGCCCAGCTCCATGGCTGTGGGCCTGGTCAGGGCCACGCCGGCATCTCTCTTGGAATAGTGCTCTCCCCACTCTCTGCACTCAGCTCTCCCCTTTGCCAACACTGTAGCTTGAGATGCCCCAATGGGACCGTGGGTCTGCGCTGTCCCTGAGCCCCGTTTGCATCCCTTGTAGCAGCGGGCACAAGTCCTACTTGCAGAAATGCCAGACTTCAAGCTCCCTGAGGGCAGCAGCTGCGTCTTTCTTACCCAGAGCTGAGATCCCCTAGGCTAGTGATGATAAAATCCTAAAAACTGTCACTGAAGGAGCAACAGGTCCAAGTTGGAGAGAATCAAGTCACTTTGAATGACTCAAAGCTTAAAGAATACGTGAGGAAAACTAACTTGAGTTGAATGTCAATGCTTTTGATGGATGTGAGTGTGTGTGTGTGTGTGTGTGTGTACACACGTGCGCATATTTACATGTGGCTAGGGAGGGAGAGGGACAGTGTGCAGCTAGAGGACATTCCAGCTTCCAGGGGGTTAACCTAGAAACCCAGCAGTGGGCCCCTCAGTATCAGCCCTGTTTATTGGTCTCCAAGACAAAAAATAACAGGACCCACCGAGGCTCTTCCTGTGCCTGAGGTCATGGAATGGCTCTGCCCTCTCCCTGGCACACAGAGCATCCGCAGACTCAGGAACAACTTGGGAGCCCTTGGGCTCACGTCCATACCACACACCACCTCCCCATTTAGACATGGGTTGGGGTGACAATGATTTCATTTAAATGAACAGAACGAGGGTTGTAGAGATTCCCCCCCACCCTAGGTCCCGAAACAGAAGGGAGTGTCTTTTGCTACCTAAGGCATATGTTTCTTTATTGTTTGAAGAACAATAAAACGGTATTCTGTCAGGGGTGACTTTGTCCTAGGAAGCATATGGCAACATCTAGAGACACTTTTGGTTGTCACAATGGGAAGGGAGAGAGTTTGCTGTGGGGCTCTAGTGGGTAGAGGCCAGGGACACTGCCTAACACCCTGTGGTACACAGGAGAGCCACCCACGGCTACGTCAATAGTGTTAAGGTTGAGAAAGCCTGTTTTACAGTGCATGCGCATTACGTCACTCATCAGGAAAGAAGTTAATGAAGAATTTGAAGTATCTTTGCATTTACTAGGATTGTCAATGGACAAAAGAAAACAAGACACATAGATCAGAGGAATAAGAAACAAGCACAAAATAAAGTGGAGCCAGCAGGTGGCATGATGATTAAGGTGCTGGACTCCCACATGGACGACCTAGGTTTGAGTCTCAGACCTTGTGGCTTGCTTTCTCACTTTGTCCCTCTCTGTCTCCATCTCTCTCTGATTTGCTATATATTAATTACATATAGCAAAACCTAAATATAATTAATAAAACAAAAAATTTTTAAAAGAACTAGGTCCTTGAACACATGAATAAACCATTTTCAGTCAAAACTCTAAGACAATGCTTTCTCCCTATTATTGGTTTTGCTGGCAGTAGGAATAATCTTGAGAATGTAGTACTGAAAAAAATTTTCCTTTTGTAGTTATTAGTACAAAATAGCAGACTGTTTCCCCTATTGAGAGATAAAAGCAAAATCCAACCTGCTTTCATGCAGAACCAATTATCCTTTGTTCCTCTCCAAAGGCAAGCTTACCAGGTATGTGGGCTCCTCCATATGTGATGTTAACATCGTAATCTCCTGGAGCAAAGGGGATGTACTCAGCACTGCAGCTGCCATCTTTGTTGTCTCTGCAGTTTATCTTTGACTCTGATGGTCCTTCAACAGTTATGCCAAGCCCACCAATCCCTGCCCCTCTGGAAATGGGGAAAAGAAAGCAAAATGTGTACAATTCATGCAGGTCTGCTTATTGTCACAATTTACTTAAAATCCCTTTATAAACTATCCCATTTAGCTGATCTAACTCAACTACTATGATAATGACCCTCACACAAGGATTTCTCAACAGTGTAATTTTTTGGGGGGGAGGAGAGGTTTTTGCTACAGAGTGTGTGCACTCGCCAGAGAGACAGAGAAAGACAGAAAGTGAGAACTCTACCCCAGAGGGGATGGCCACGCCACAGTCCCTTCTCCTCCATTCTCCTCTCGGGATCTTGGGCACGCACACACACGCACCCGGTGTGAATTTAAGCCACCGGGTCTGGGACTCAAACCGCGATTGACTACATGGGAGATCCAGTGACATAGCCATTACGCTAACTGCAAGTCCCTCAACAGTGTAATATTAATAAAGACAACTTTGTCCCTTCCTTTCCAATGCCTATGCTTTATTTATTTTTCTTCTCTAATTGCATTGGCTATGACTGCAAGTACAATGCAGACATGTATCTTGTGACCCATTTTAATAGAAATACTTCTAATATTTCATTCACATACGAAATTAACTATAAATTTCAACATGATAAGTTAAAAAGTTTCCATCTAATCACAGTTTGCACTGATATTTTCAGACCATTATCAGTGCTTTTTGGTACATTTTTAGGTGTACCTGATCTTTCTCATCTATAAAATAAGT